CCCCCCCCCACCTCCCTGCCCTGAGGCCTGTACCCGCACCCCTTCCCTGAGCCCTTCCTTACCCCAACCCTGACTCTCACCCGCCCCAGGGTTGCCAACCCGCAGTAAATTTACAGACAGTCTGTAAAAAAATTAGCTGAAATTGGATATGTCCGTAAAAAAATGTAGGTGCCCGTATGTTTCGTAAAAAGTGCAATAACATTTCAAAAACCCGCAGTTATTCTATAGCCACTCACTTTCTTCTGTGCTGCTTCCGCTGTTTTACTGCGGAGCAGCAGAAACTGGATGTTTTAGTTGTTTAGTTGTCAGTGTTCGGATGTATGATCACTAAATGGAAAACTTCCAGCACCGTGACTAACTAAATGAAAGTGAATTAAATAGCATGTTGTTCTTGTGATGTATGAATGACAACGATTACTTTTCACTTTTGGCCATTTATGTCGTCTTAATATAGTATTCAAATTATGTGTGTAAAAAAATTTGTCCATACATTTTCCCCTTTTGTCCATAAACGAAACTTCTGTGGGTTGGCAACCCTGCTCCACCCAGGCCAGGATGGACCCAGAGGCCCTGCATAGGCGCTGGGCTACTTTGGACACAAGTCAGACCCGTGTGGGGAGCTGACAGCTGGGTACCACCTTGAGCGCATCTCAGGTCTGAGCTTTTTCTCACCACAGCAGGTTTGCCAGCTCTTCCCTTTGCATTGCCCTGCAGTTGGCTTGCCGGCCGCGGCTCTGCAGTAACCTGTCAGTCCACTGACATGTGCTCGGTTTTCTGTTTCAGGAAGTGTCAGGATGCTGTCTCTGGATGCACTCAGTTAGACAGAGAGTCAGTCACACTGGAGCTGAGAAAGTCAGGAGACCTTGTACCAGATCCTCCACAGCTGTGTCCAGAGAGATGTGAGGGTTAGCCATGCCGATGGGAATCTGTTGGAGAGGCTGTGTGTGGGTGGGAGGGATATCAGCTGGCTAGATAATTTGAGTTAAGGTATTTCTAACACTTCACCAGTGCCTTGACTCCAGTGATTCATGGGGTGTCTTTTAAATGTGGGAAGGGAAGTTGTCTGAGGGAAAATGGTGTAATTAAAGCAGTACAGATCCTATTTAGGTCCCAGTGCTGGGGGTGTGTGAAGGGTGTGAAAGCACCCTCCTATGGTCCCCCATGTAAGTATGCTCCGGCTGGCCAGGCTTGGCGAAGCCTGATTTCCCCCACTTATTTGGAGGACCGTAGCAGGTACATTCGCACTCTTGCAGTCCACATTTACAAAAAAAGCACCTCCCTACAGAAATTCCTGCATACAGGCCTGGTGTACATAGATGAGCCCTTAGATGACTGTACTCCAGGCAGAGCTGTACAGTGCCAAATGTGCATGCAGTTGCGCTGGTATAAAGCTGCTCACACCAGTATTGCTTATTCTGCTGGACAGGAAAGATACAAGTGTGTGAGCAAAATGTCACAATGTCAACACCTTGAAAACAGAATTTGCCAGTCCCAAGCTAGAAGCAGTCTTTGCACCTGTAAATGGAATGGCTCTGCTGTGTATTTGTCACTGATTGGATGGAAGAGGCGGACTGTGGAATATAGGAAAGCTTGATACATCCTTAAGATTATTTTTTCTGCTTGGAGTCTCTTAAAGAGGTTCTATATCAATTTACACAGCTCTGTAACTGTATCTGGGGCATTGTAACCATGCTTTATCAGCCAAAAGCACATAGACATAGTCCATAGTCCAAGTGTGTGGAGATTACGTGGTCTGTTAGTATACAAATCATACTAGGAGCCTTACATTGATAGGTCTGCCAGCGTTTGTTTGTTCTCTCCCAAACACAGCACAATATCTATCTAAAAGTGTGTGTTTGGGGGGGGTGGGGGGTGATTTGGTTAAAAAAAAAAAGCATGGCAGATTTGGCTTATGGTTTTTTTACAATGCTCTTAAAGTGTAAGCAGATTTAAAGTTATGACACTGTCTAAATTCTAATTTTGCTGGGGAATCTTTCTAGTGCTTCTCCCAGGTCTTAGTAGAGCAAGAGGTAGCAAAGGAGACTGTTAAATAGAACTCTGACCCTTAAAATTCAGCTGAATTAGTTGTATTGGAATAAAGTAAGGGAGGTTGAAGACTGCATTTAAGGCTAGGCAG